GAGGTTCAATTGGCCGGGCGAGTAGCGGCACCCTCCAGCTGTTTTCCGGGACAACACCCCGCGGCCTATCCTCAAACACCGCGGCATCCCATGCAGATCGTGAAAATGCCTTCGGTGCCGAATACCAGCAGTAACTCGACCGGTACGCTCCATACGGGAAAGAAGCTGTCTGACTCGGGATTTTTCGTTCCGAACCCGTGGCAAACGCTGGGCCCTGATTCTTCGAAGCTTTGGGTGCCTCGACAGCAGATAGAACCCGCGCCTGTTCTAAAACCTGAGCCTGTACAAATACAGAGAAGGAAGGAAAAGATTAGTCGCGCGGAACGTGTACAACTGAGGTTGGAATACGACCAAAGTTTACCGCTGACCCCGGCCGATCCTGTACTTGCTCAAGGTCCTGTCGAAGTGCCTGAGGTTTTGTTGAGCCAGACTCCGAGTTCACGCGAGCGACGGAAGCGAAAGTCTGACGCGGAAGGCGAGAGGGAACCGCGAGTCGGAGGAACCCCTGAGGAGCATGAATCCCAACTCGCGACAAGGCGTGCGAAACGCGTGCATAGCTCCCAGGGAACTCCTGATCAATCGCACCTCCCAGCGCAGTCCGTCGAAGGCCTAGCCAACGTCACGCCCACATCGCATTTGAACTCGCAGAGGAAGGCTGAGGCGGCCCGTAAGCGAGCTCAACGGGCCAGGGAAACTCCTGAGGGTTACGAAAATCGCCTCGAAAAAATGCGTAATGCGAAACGCCAACGCGACCCTCAGTCGAGTAATGACGAAACACTAACCCTGCGCCCCGCGAATCGTTTTGGTGCCGTCACGCCGACTTCGAGTCAAAGGGCACTGCGTGAAACATCCACTGCCCGGGTGAGGGGGCTACGTGCTAATGAAAGCCCAGCTGAGCAAGCCGCACGGCGAACCAAGGACCTCTACTCTAAAAGGTTGCAGGAGTCTCGGTTGAGCACAAGTGAACGTGAGACTCAGAATCTCGCTCGGGCTGCGCGTGTTGCGGCGAGGCGCTCCAGAGAATCGCCTTCCCGGCGTTCGGAGCGCCTTAGTCGTGATGCGATATCCACGGGAAGTTCACGACACCGAGAATCCTCATCCCAAAGAGCATTGCGTCTGGAGGGGAATGCTATTCGGGCCGCGGCTCACCGGCAGCAACGACGCCATACGGCTGCTGCGCGCGCAGGTGCTGCTCGGAATCCGGATGCGTTTCCCCCCCATCCACTATCTTGGCAAACCGGACATACCTTGCAGTTGCTGTGGCGCATTGCATTATGCAGTCGAAACAAAATCCCCGAGTGGCAGTTTCCATTCGTGTTGCGGCCATGGCAAAATCGCTATTTCGTTGTTCGACAATTTCCCCCCAGGAATTGGAAGATCTTTACAAAGGGGATACTCGAGAATCGAAAGATTTCCGGGCGAACATTCGAAATTACAATAGCGGTCTAGCTATGGCTTCAATGACGGCCCAAATGGATGCTCCGCCCGGAAGAGGACCACGGCCTTATCGGATCCATGGAGCAGTGTACCATTTGGTCGGCCCTATGAGACCACAGCCTGGAGAGCAAGCCCAATATGCCCAGATCTATATTATGGACACCGAGCAAGCGGCCAACGAGCTAGCCGGTCGTGCCATCAATCGGCACTGCGATCAAGGCCTCTTTGCCAACCTCCATCTCCTCTTGCAAAACGTCAATATCTATGTTCAATCATTGATGATGATGGCAGAGGTGTCAAAAGAGGAATCTGATCAAGCAGCTGCCGATGGGCGGGAAGCTCTCTCAGCGCAGTTGGTCTTTCGAACAGATAAGAGGGACGACCAAAGACGGTTCAATGCGCCTACATCCAATGAGATTGCCGTTGTTTACGTTGGTGACGATGAGTCGATACCCGGCGAGCGCGTGTTCTATATCCACGAGCGAGACGGCGGCCTCAGGCAGATCCACTACTTGCAGAAAGAGTGCGAACCACTCTGTTATCCTCTCTTCTTCCCTCGGGGTGGAGAGGGGTGGCACCCTAACATTCCGAAGCAAGTGGGAAATGCTGGCCGTCGTGGTAACTCTGACGATGACGAACCGGCTATTGCCGATGACGGTCCGCCGAACCGGGTATCTCAAAGAGAATATTTCGCTTATAACATGTTCGTCCGGCAAGGCTTCAATCCTATCCACCACGGCGGCAAACTTTGCCAACAGTATTACGTGGATGCCTTCGCCAAGACTGAACAGAATAGGCTTAATTATTATCTGACTCACCAGCGTGAACTTCGGCTGGATACGGTCCGTGGCCTCACCGATCACATGAATTCCCATGGTCAAGGTCCTGCAGGCAGAAAGATTATTTTGGGCGCCGGTCATCAAGGCAGTGGTCGAAATTCGGTCGGGCACTATCAGGATTCAGTGGCCATTATGACCAAGTACGGAAAGCCAGATCTCTTTTTGACCATCACTTGCAATCCGAACTGGCGTGAAATTCAGGATGGTCTTTATCCAGGCCAGACTGCAATTGATCGTCCAGATTTGGTTGCAAGAGTGTTCGAATTGAAAATGAGAGCACTCGATGAGGAACTTTTCAAAAAGCACATCCTCGGAGAAATGGCTGCCTACGTTTCGGTGATTGAATTCCAGAAACGAGGGCTTCCGCACCGTCATATGGTCCTATTTTTGAAGGAGGATTCAAAGCTCAGAACATCTGACGAGGTTGATAGCATCATCTCAGCTGAGCTCCCTGATTCCGACGTAAATCCTGAATTGTTTCAATTGGTTTCGACCAATATGATCCATCGGCCTTGCGGTGCCCATAATCCTTCGTCGCCCTGCATGCAAGACAATACCTGTACTAAAGGATTTCCAAAAGAATTCAGAGATACCACTTTGATTTCGGACGGTTATCCAAAATACAGGCGCCGAGACCAGGGAAGGACTGTTCGGTATACGGTGAACCGGGTGGATGTCGTACTTGACAACCGTCACGTCGTGCCGTACAACCCCTACCTCCTGCATCGGTTTGGTGCTCACATCAATCTCGAATGCTGCTTCTCCTTCGACTCGGTCAAATACCTGTTCAAATACGTCTATAAGGGTACTGACAGAGCTCGCTTCCAACTTCGGGATGTAAACAATGATGAACTTGGACCGGTCAATGAGATCGAACGGTACATACAAGGTCGTTATTTGTGCGCTCCCGAAGCTTGCCATCGTCTTTTCGCATATCCCATGCAAAAGAAGAGCGACAAAGTCATCCGACTCCAAGTACATCTTGACGGCTTTGAAAATGTGGTGTTTGACCCAGAAGATGCACAGGCGGCACTGAATAGAGCTCGCACTCATAAGACCACGCTGAGCGCATTCTTTGCCATCAACACGCACATGCAGCATTTGGAGGATACCGGAGCAAGTGCGGTTATGGTTAACGGTCAAAAGTGTCTGCAGATCGGGAGAAGGAGGGACGCAGAGAAGGTCTTAGATTCCAGAGAATTTTTCTATGGCCAAATGCCAGAAAAATATCGTATCGTTCAAGGCAAATGGGTGCAACGAAAGAATGCGTCGCGGGTGATTGGCCGGATGTACCATGTCTCTCCACGAGACACGGAACGTTTTGCCATGAGACTGCTTCTGCTCTATACGAAAGGCCCAAGGAGCTTCGAACAACTGCGCACTATCAACGGCACTCAATTCAACACCTATTTTGAGGCCGCCAAAGCAGCAGGATACATGAACGATGACTCTGTGAACCTAGCTACGATGCAGGAAGCCGCCGATGTGCGGATGCCTGGAGAACTTCGAAGCTTCTTCTCTTCCCTGATCTGCTTCGCTGACGTGCAGGACCCTGTGGCGTTCTGGGAACGCTTCAAGAACGACCTAATGCAGGACTTCCTTGCTCGCGGACTTTCCATCCAAGTCTCTGAGTCAAAAGCCTACTGGGAAATTGTCGAAGATCTGACAGTTCTCGGAGTCAGAGACAGCCCGTTGTTCCAACTCAATTTGCCAAAGTACGACATTGACATCGTCGTTGTTGATCCCGCTGAGCATGCTCGACTCGGGAACGACAAATACTTGCAATTGAATCCAGAACAACTCAGAGCGACGGATGAAGTCTTGGCCGAGGTCGCAGACCCAAGTGGGCAGTGCTTCTTCATTGACGGTCCAGGGGGAAGCGGCAAAACCTTTGTCTACCAAACCATCTACCACATTCTATCCGGTATGGGCAAGAAGATTCTCTCGGTAGCGTGGACAGGTATTGCCGCCAACCTATTGGAAGAAGGACGTACAGTCAGCACAGCCTTCCGTCTGTTGATCAAGACCAACAACAAGGAATCCAGCATGAAACGGCAGAGCATTGAAGCGCGAGCACTCGCTGAGATCGACCTGATCATCTGGGACGAAGCACCAATGGCACCGAAAGAAGCACTCGAAGCAGCTGATGCTCTTCTTAAAGACATTATGCAAAACGATGTGCCATTCGGTGGAAAGGTCATGGTACTTGGAGGAGATTTCCGACAGGTACTTCCCGTGGTCGATGGCGGTGGTCGTGCTGAAATGGTGTCAGCCTGCTTGAAGACATCCCGACTCTGGCCGCTCTTTCGCAAGTTTGAGCTCACGACCAACATGAGAGTTCGGGATGCAGGCAACGACTGGAAGGACTATCTTCTCGCTCTGGGTAATGATCTACTCGACAAAGACGAAGAGGGATACCTCGAAGTACCCGAAGATCTCAGATGCGAGCAAGATTTGGCCGAAGCAGTCTTCCGACCAGCCTTTGATGAAGGGGTTGAACTTTCTGAAGTAGCTATCCTTACACCCAAGAACGAACAAGCTCTCGAGCTCAACAATCGAATCTTGGATATGCTACCCGGAGAAGTCAAAACCTTCAGAAGTGCTGACTCGGCCGAGACTACTGATCCAACCGATGCTGCCAACTTCAACGCAGAGCTTCTAAACAAGATGACACCATCTGGAATGCCTCCCCACCTGCTCCATCTAAAAGTGGGTTGCATCGTGATGCTTCTGCGAAACCTCAGCGTCAAAAAGGGTCTCTGCAACGGTACCAGGCTGATTGTCGAGCAAATCGGAGCCAGAATTCTCCTCTGCACAATTGCCACGGGTAGCAGGAAAGGCAAGAAAGTGTTAATCCCCCGAATTGATTGCCTTTATGACAAAGCCACACTACCATTCGTGCTGAAGCGACGCCAATTTCCGGTTCGGCTGAGCTTCGCAATGACCATCAACAAAAGTCAAGGGCAATCATTCGAAAAGGTCGGCATTGCGATGTTACACGAAGAAATCTTTGCACACGGCCAGCTTTATGTTGCTCTCTCGAGAGCACGGAGCCGCAAAGGTGTCTCGATAATGGCCAAGGACAACAAGATGAAGAACGTCGTCTACGAAGAAGTCCTCGAATAAGTTCTAAATCTTTTGTCATTGTTGATTTGTTGTTATTATTATTGTTATTTTTACCTTTTTCTGTTGTTGTTATTGTTGTTGTTCGTTGCTTTTTAAATTATATTTCGCTGAATAAATATTTTAAACCCCCTAATATGTGTCTGATTTCTCAAAATTGGTTCTTTGCCATAATTATCTCTAAACTTTTTTGAATTGTATCTTTGAATCTATTTTTCAGCTTTATGTGGCCGGCCTCCGGCCGGCACATAAATTTACGATAGGCTTTTGGGAAGGTTAGAGTCATGTGGGCCTAGAAGTGGCCAGTGGAAAACTGCCGCGAAGCGGCTTTTTTCCACTGGTAACTATATATTTGCCACAAAAACATTGGGTATCCCTTTAAGGAACTCAGGTTTTCTGGCACGTAAAATACTTTCTTTTTAGTCTCCTCCATCCTACTCCCGATTGAAGAAGCCAAGAAAAAGGGCATCTACGCATTAAAGGTAAGATTTCACTTTATTGTATAGGTTTCCATTCCTAGTGGAACTCATCGCGGTTGAGTTGGAAGAATTGGGTAACGCTCGGCGCCGGACTTCTAGCCGTCTGCCTGGTCGTCTACTTTCTGTTCTTCAACGGGCCAAGCTACTATTATAACCGGTAAGCGTGGGGTGGATTTGGGCGAAAAATATTGTCTTATTTTGTACAACTCATATTACGCCATTTTAGTGATTTCGATGCGCAACTCGCCAAATTCATCCACGTCTCGCCGGCCGCTCGAAAGTTGCCGAAATCGGGCAGTTTGTTCTGCTGGGCGATGACTTCCACGAAATATCACGGAGATCGGGTAATTTCTTTATTTTTTATTTTTGTTTGGGTGCTTTTCCATTATCGAGGGGGGATTGTTTCATAGAGGTCTATAGATTTCTACTTCTACTACGCACAAAATTACGCAGCAAAATTTAGCTTTATTTCAAGCGGAAAAGTTATCTAGAAAACGCTAAAAATCAAAAAATCGTAATTTTCGTAATCAAAAATATAATACAAAAATCCAAAAAAGATTTCTGTAGTTTTCTACGTTTAGGAATTCCAAAAAAACGGATAAAAAAATAGAGTTCGTTTTATATAAGAAAAATTGGATTCTAAAGAAAAAGTTATCCCTCCCCGGTAATGCAAAAGCACCTTTATTTTTTTAAATCAAATTAATAATCCATTTAAACTTTCCATTAGGTGCCAGCCGTCAACGGAACTTGGCTACCCCGCTGTGATCATGGACAATTCTTCACGAACGACGCGATGGACCCAGAATTAAACGTATGCTTTTAATAGCCGCTATTTTATCCTATAAAACTTCATCATGTGATTGTTGCTTTCAATATCAAAAAAGCCTCTACAATCTAAAAAACATTAATTTTTTTTAGATCGCCTATTCTACGGTATTCGCTGGGATACCCGACACCTATGAGAACCTGTTCTTCAAAACCCGCTACGCCCTCCGCCACATTTATCGCAACATTTCCAGCCAATTTAATTGGTATCTAAAGGTATGACATCCATTTGGTTTTGGAAAAATTAACTGTTTAGGCCGACGACGATACATATGTGATTGTCGAGAATCTACGCGCGTACCTGGCCAAGCTAGACCCGAATATACCGTATTACCTGGGATACCGGTTGCGGCCGTATTTGGTAAGTATTTGGAGGTTGGCCGGTGCTTTCGCAATATCGGGAGGGGGGGTTGGATTCCTATAAGCCTGGAAACGCTTGGTACGTGGTTTGATAGTGTTTTTAGCAAAAAATTTAAATTTAAAGTAGTATTTAATAATAGCAATTTAAAGTAGTAAGAATTTAAATAGTTAAAACTATACTTTACGTGGAAACACTAAAAAGTACGAAGGAAAACTTTTTAGTAGACATTTTGGCCGAAAATCGGCGATTTTTGTTCGAAAAACGATGTTTTTCGTATTTTCGTGGTTTATTTTATCAAATTTTTGAAAGATTTTACGTTTAGGTATAGTAAAAACAGTTTAGAAAAAATTCCTGGATTTATATTGGAAAAATTCAGCATCCTTGGAAAAAGTTGGTGCTCGTCGCTCCGATAATGCGAAAGAATCTCTTGGCCAGCCTGTAAGCAGACTGGCAGAGATTACTTAGGAATCGAAGAACCCAAAACTTATAAAAAATTCTAGAATTTCTACATTTATATCAATTTCTATAAAAATATATTTCTAAAATCTGTATTTTATTAATTTCTATAAAAAATATTACAGGAACACGGGTACAATGGCGGCGGTGCCGGCTACGTTCTCTCGAGGGCCGCGATGGAGCTGTTCTCCGAGAAATTGTACGACAACGCGACGCTGTGCCCAGATGATATTTATGAAGACCTTGGAGTGGGGAGGTCAGTGTTTTCTAGACCGAGTCGAATGCCTTGGAAATCGATCGAAAATCAAAATAAAAACGGGTTTTAGGTGCTTCGCGAACGTCCAGATCTACCCGCTCGATACCCGGAATAATCGAGGTCAACAGAGGTAGAATTAACAAGTTTTAAAAAAATCTATAAATTGTTGCTTTTAGATTCAACACATTCCGCCCGGACCAAGTCTTCAAGGGATCGGTCGTCAAGGCACCCTACTGGATCTACGACGTCGAAATAAAGGTATCCAAAGGACATCGTTAATTAAAAAAAACGTATCAACTATAATAATTTTGCTGTGGTGTCCGTCTGTCTGTCTGAAGCCAACTATAACTCGAAAGGGAAAGGAGCTAGAGCTTAGGTCTCTTCGGATTCGGATAGAGCATGGTCAGAAACCCCTTAAATGATCAAAACATTATAAAAAAGTTTTCGTTTAAATAAAAATAATTAACTTTGAAAGTGGCGCCTTAATAAAACGAGTGGGGGCCCTCTCCCCGGGAGGCCACGCCCCCTTTCTCTTCGCCCCTGTTCCCCAGGCCCTTTCCCGCGCCCAGATGCCTTTTTTGAGTTACTTTAATACTTTTTAATATGTTTTAATTATGTTAATTTGTTATTTAAATCATTTAAAGTGTCGGGATGGAATCTAAGTAGTTTTTTAAGGGGGTTTCGTCTATGGCGGATATCTGAAGCCATCAAGAAGGTATTTAGGTAGTTTTTGAAGGGGATTTCAGCCATGGGGGGTATCTGAAGCCATCAGGAAGGTATTTAGGTAGTTTTTGAAGGGGATTTCAGCCATGGGGGGTATCTGAAGCCATCAGGAAGGTATTTAGGTAGTTTTTGAAGGGGATTTCAGCCATGGGGGGTATCTGAAGCCATCAGGAAGGAAGGTATCTAAGTAGATTAGGTATCTAAGTTTTTGCAAGATATCGAACTTTAGGTATTTGAGGTGATCAGCGTGTGTACTGATGAAAGTAGAGATTTAATGTGGTGGCGTAGAACATGGAGGGTAGCCCGAAGACCAGCCGATTGCAGTCGCGAAGCGACTGTAATCGGCTGGTTTTTAGGTATTTGGGGGAATTATTTTTTAGTATCCAGTTTTCGCAGAACTTAAACTTAAAAACTATGAAAAATACAAAAACATGATTTTGAATTTACTAAAAAATGAACAAAAATGCTTCCTATTACGTAAAAATAGGGCAAGCTCTAATCGACTCGAGAATTTAAAGAATTCAGTAAACTGGAACCCTGGAAAACGTGAAACATTTCTTTCAACTAAAAATTTTATCTTGTTTAGGGCTTCGACGCGGTGGGCGAAGACCTGGTCTCCTTCCACCACATCACCCCCGACGAGATGCGACTTTTCGAGATGCTACTCTACCGCGTCCGCAAGCCCTCAACGCCCCAAAATCCAACACCAGACACTCTCATTTCGAAGGCAGATTCGAAAAACCATAACCGGTAGCCTGGTTTCCTCCCAAAAAAAGCGTGTAGAAAAACCGGTACTGCACTTTTAGCAGGGGGAAAATAATTTTTGCCTTTTTTCGACATGTTTTTTATAACGCTTTAGCAGTTTTTGAGTGCACGAAAGTTACAAAAAGTTACTATTTTTGAAAATTCGTAAATTTCAAATTTTATGAGATTTTAGAGCTTTTTTCGCTAAAAAATGTATAAAACGCTGTCGGTAAAATGGTTTATTTTCCTAATAGGGCCTCACGGGATTACTTAGAAAAATGAGTTCCCCCCGCTATCAGTCCAGTACCGAAAAACCCACTACTTTTGCCTTTGTATCTAAAACTAGTCCAATTTATCCCAAATCCTGTGCATTGTTTTACTGACAGCTTTAGGAAGCATGAGCTTTATTCCCGATTCACCCCTTTCAAAATCATATGTGATGTTAGCCCTTTTGTGCCCTTCCCCTCCTTACATATCCCCTCGAATTTGCGAATATGATACGTCCTATGAACTCAGTCGATCATACGGGTGCTCGTTCATTTTGATAGCGTCGACACCATGGGTGTATATTTCGTGTGTTTCTAGAGAAATAATAAATTATGTTTTGGTTTACAGGGCGGAAAATATACAATATCTGAATGGGTGAAAAGATAAAGCTAATTTAAATTAAAGAAATTCTAGCACTCGATTTTAATACAATCAGCAGCAGAAAATAGTATTTTAATTTTTAAATTATATTCATTGAAAAGATTTTTGTTACGGGAAGATTTTGAAAAATTCAAAAAGTTCTCGAAGGTTTCCGTGGGAGTACTTTGTACGCTACCATAGGCGTCATTTGGTGCCCGGCGTTTTTATTCTTCCATGAATTTAATTTTCTGATTTTTTTGTCCGTTCTTAGATTTTGAAACCTCTTTTGTTGGTTTTTGACTTTTCGTACTTTTTTTACATTTTGGTGAAACTCTTGTGCAGGACGCCTGATACGCTGGGATAGAAATAATTGCATTTAATGAACGAGCAGCACAAAATCTGGCCTAAAACCAAGCCAATCACATCCGGGCGTACCAGGCGAACGGCCTGTGTTTCGCAAAAAAACTGCCAGTGTTTTCGTTAAAATCTTCTAGTCGCTCACTCGTAAATGCAAGACAAAAGTATCTTTTTTAGGCCATGTTTGAGCCTGCGCACAAACGCGCAAGACGGGATCCCAATGTGGATCCAATGAACCCGCAGCCGTCGGCCGTCATCCATATCAGAAATCTAAACTTCAAGGTATCACTTGACCGCCTCTTATTAACCACCTTTTTAGGCGACAGAAGCCGACCTGCTCGAGGCTCTGCAAGGATTTGGGCGCATCGCCTACGCGACGGTGATGCCCAACAAGCGGATGGCCCTTGTCGAATTTGAGGTAAGGTTTTCGCCAATTGATAAAGCTCGTACGAATCATACAAATGAAAATCGTGGTGGTTACCCCCCTTTTGTATCGTATGAATCGTATGAGCTTTGCCGCTTTTCGTTTTCTAAAACTGTCTACATCAGCTTTTAGACCCTCGAGGCCGCCACGAAATGTGTCTACTTTGCTGCCGAGAAGATGATCAACATTGCTGGGTACCCGGCACTCTTCAATTTCTCGTAATTTTCTGCTGATCGATTAATAGTTTTTGATTCAGGACTTCTCCAACCATCCAACGGCTCGGGCTCGAGTGCGAAGTTCCCAACCATGTGATCGTGATCTCCATCTCAAATGTGCAGTATCCGATCACCGTCAACGTCATCCGGGACATCTGCGCGCCGCACGGTGATGTCTTGAAAATTGCCATCATTAGAAAGGCTTGCTTACAGGTATTTTATACGATTTTATGGTCAAATTTGATTAGGTGCTCGTCCAATTTGACACCATCGAGAGCGCGCGGAAGGCAAAGTACGCATTGAACGGGGCCGACATCTATTCAGGATGTTGCACGCTGAAGGTCGAATTCGGAAGGGTACTTTTCTATCAGCATTTCTTATTTTTATTCTTCACTTGCAGCCAGAAACGGTGAAAGTGACAAGGAATGACGAGACTCAATTCGACTACACTCGTCCTGGTGATTTTTTTTGGTATATCAGAATATCGAAAAGTGATTTTGCGAGCGTCATGTTTCGGAAAAACTGCGTTGTTATTTTGACCCCTTGTGTTCTTTTCGTTTTAACAGAGGAACACAAATTCTTGAAAAATGTTTTTTTAAAGATGGCGTTTCGGAATTATTCCTTTTCAGAGAGTTTTTGAAATTCGGATTGTCGAAAACGAGTGTGGAAATCAACGGTGTTCCTTTTTAAAAGCGGGTCTTTCAGATTTGGATTCGAATCCGAACACCGTGCATTTTCAACCCACACGCGCTCCCCTCATCGGCGGGCCAATGTCGAATCAGATGCACCCGCACCCCGGCGCAAGTGTGCATTATGACAATCAGCTACCACCATTCGGCTACTCGGATCAGCAATGTGGGCTGTTTTCGTCTAACTTCTAACCTCCACTTTTAGACACAACGCCCGCACCGCGGAACCCTGGCTTCGCCGACAACTACGGCCGTGACCATCTTGAAATGCCAGGTACATTTCTACCTAGCTTTCGGAAAAGTTTTCGTTTAGAGAATACAGCTATCTACCCCGACTACAACAAACCGCCGATGATGGGACGAAGCCTGGACCCGCGAGCCCAGAACTACTATTCGGAGGGCGACAACAATCGGCAGCAATCGAACGATGCTTTCGGTGGAACGACAGTGCTTATGGTATATTTTTCTAAATTAAAAACTTCGGTTCTTCAGTGTTTCTCGGGGTTGGGTCCGAATTTGTTGACGTAGTATCCACTTTTTCTGCTTAAGAGACATAGTGTTTTAGGCTGTTTTTACGTTTCTAAATGCCGAAATTGTACAAACTTATCAACACAGAATAGCTATTTTCAACGGAAATTTGAAGTTTTCAAGTTGGTTTTTCACCGGCAAGGTAGCTAAAACAAAGATAGAAAACTTTCTGTGACGTTACTGGTCATTTTTTGACTTTTAGGAACAATTTCGATCCCCCTCCGGAAATTCTAAAGAACCGAAACCCCATATATTTGGCCGATTCTTTCAAAAAAGCGCACGGTAAAACGGAAATTCACATTTTATCAAGCTGCACATCTTTTTTTCATTTCGCTATTGACACAATACATTTCCAAGATCTACGGCATCAATCACGACTCGTTCAACTGTGACAAGCTGTTCAACATATTGTGCCAATACGGCAACGTCGATCGCATCAAATTCATGCACAGCAAGGAGGACACGGTCATGGTACAGATGGGGCACACCTTTCAAGTAAATTTCACATTCTTTTCTTGAAGATATCCCATTTTTCTAGGTGATTTCGGCATTGCAATTTTTGCAAGGAGCCGAGCTGTTCGGCTGCAAGCTGACGCTGCGCCCATCGAAACAGTGGGAGGTGGTGTTGACGGGTCGCGGCTTCGATCTGCCCGATCAGACGCCCTCCTTCCGCGACTTTTCCACCTCAAAGCATCAGGTATCGTTTCGTACATCTTTCTAACCTTATTTTTAGCGCTATACAACTCAAGCCCTTGCCGCCAGGAATCGCGCTTGCTCCCCGACGAAAATAATACACTGGTTCAATGCCCCAGTTTGCCTTGACGAGCAAGGCATTATTGATGTAGGTTTTTTCGGTTCTGGTTCGTTATCGGTGGGGAGGCTCTCTGAATCAGCGCAACCTCGAGCGTAATTAGTATTTTGGGTTGTTTCCGATTACTGAAAAATGTTGGAAACTTTTTAAAGTAAATTCGATGACGATATCTGGAAGTTTTGATAATCGGTTTTCGATTTTTTTATAGCGAAAAAGGCTATTATAACATTTTGGTTTCTGATTCGACGTCTACAGGAATATAGGAAAAATCTGGTCGCTACCCCCGCTAATAAACCAGAACTTTTTTCTTTCGGTCGTTTGAAGAATAACTTTTTAGCTCTTTCAAAATGCGGGTGGACCGGTCCCGCGGAGTGTTCGGGTGAATCAGGCGCGCAGCGAGAAAAGCCATTCTGGAACGGCTGAGTTTGCAACCGTTGTAGAAGCCACTGAGGTACCTTACTCTCTCTGTATCTAATTTTCTTTTTCAAGGCACTCGCCATCGCCAACCACACGCCGATCCAAGCTCCCAACTTCCGCCTGCCCTTCATCGTCAAAATGGCCTTTTACGCGCCGGCGATTCCCTCGAATACCGCCCGCGACGAGCACTTCACCCAACAATAACCTTCCCACTCCCCGCTCACTTTTCCCGTGCTCTATTTGTCCCGCAACGCCACTATTTATTGTTCTTCATGTTGTTCACATTAAAATTCTAACTGGCTCGCCGTTTTCAAATCGATTTTACTTGGTTGATGATGCGGGGCTTGATATTGTTGTCGAATAAAACCTCATTAATGTAACTCTACTTGTTTCGACTTGTTGTATACAAATATTTTTGAAGGTGTGATTGCGAAGGTAAAGAAAAAAAAATGCAATTGAAGATGTTGGGAAATTTTTAAGGCGTATCTATTTAGCGCTTCAAGCTACTTGGAAAGTGCTTTTCCAATCTAAACGGCGGGATTTTGGGCATCTTGCAGGTTTTGGAGACATTTTAGCTAGCTGCATGCTCCGACTGGGTGGGGTCTAGTGACGATTTCGAAAGCCCGCAGTGTCGATAGTAGCGCCCCGTACCAAGGAAAAATTCCCGCCTGACTGCTAAAGCGGCTTGTCAGCGCTAAAAATCAGCTGTGAAATTTAAAAATCTGTTTATTATGCTCGTTTTATAAGTTATCTAAGCGGGGGAATAGCGCTTTATATAACTTTTCGATTCTGTCGAAAGGTAGTTAAATAAGGATCAATCTTAAATTTTTTACTTATTTTACTTTTGGTTTGATCAGCATTGAAAACCCGTTTAAAAGCGGCGTCCTGAAAACACCTTGAAACTGCTTTCAAAACTGTCCGCGCGAAATCACCGGTGAGGGACTTTGTGTAAAAAATGCGGGCACACGTGATTCCTGTCTAGACACGTTCCAGCCGCCGAAAAGGGCTTATGACTAACTTCCGTTCCTTTTCTCTTCCTTGTTGAGTGTCTACCTCCGGTTAAACCTTTGAAAATAGCTCATTTTCAGCAAGATGGGCGCCACGGACATCACATACGCGCCGAAAAAGTCGAGGCCAAGCTTGAGCAGACCAAAAGAGGTGAGCCTGGCAAAAGTATTGAATGATGTAGATGATTTAGTTAGACCAACAAATGATTTATTTTTAGGTGCGTCCGATCAGCCTCAAAGAACTGGAAGAGCCATCAGGGAGTGAAGAGCCAGATGCTCCGGGTGAATTCTACTTCCTGGACCCGGGCTCCTTCGAATCGACAAACGATATCCTGCACCGTGAAGTGTTTTTGGTACGTGCGATAATTTTAAGCTTTCTGGCCAAAATTGGTAATTTCTGGTAGTTTAGCGCGACAGAACGCGTCGTTTTTGACGCATAACTAAACGCGAAAACCTAGCAATTATTTCAAAATCGCCTCTCACACCTATTTTAGAAATGCCAAGAGGCCGGACTCGACCCACGCTGGATGAAAATGGACATTGTCGAAAAGTCGGAACGCGGCGACCCCAACTTTTACGTGCTGCCGAGATTTGAGGGGCCAGCGTACGAGATTCTGAAGGAACGACGATGCAAGTATGGACAATCTTGGAATTTCCAACTCGTCTTTAGAACAGTTTCCTCGTTTCTCGTACGCGAATGTCTGCGACTGGACAGATGCTTGGTCAAAATTGACATCCCGGTGTATTCGCTTCATCTAGACGGCGTCAAAGTGACATTCACCGGATTTGCCACGGCCGAGAAGGTAATTCTTGCTTATTTGCCGGAAAATTATTGCGGATTTCAGAAGCGACTAACGGAATTGGTCTACGCGATGGGCGGTCATTCATCACCGCGCTTCAGCCATGAAATCACACACCTCGTCGCTGCCCGCTACGACCCGACGAATCCGGACAAATATCAGGTAAATTGGGGTTCTGCTTCGTTAGCGGGGGCGAGCAAACTTTCCTCAAGGGTCTGTAGGCGCCCTATAAAAATATAGACTATTTAATCGAGTTTTCAAGTTAAAAGATGCATTACAATATCAACCGTGTTGATGTTTTGGCGAAAAGTGTAGGACAAATGGCTAAACCCTAAATTTTGAAGTGTTTTTACGACTTTCAATTGTGCGAGGTTACTAAAAATACCACCAAAATATTTTGATTTTATCTGGAATCCAGAATAGGCATAATAATAGAAATTCGCTTGCCACACCCTTCCCCCCCCCGCCCCCGGTAAAGAACCAGAACCTGCTTTTCTCTAATTGTTTTATCCCCCGTTTGTTTAGTATGCTCGTCAACTGCGGATACCGATTCTGGAGTCGGGTTGGCTGGAGGACGCGTGGACCAGGGCCACCAACCACGAGCCGGGCAATTTTTCCGCCGAGCAATTCTACGAGCCGTACCGCATGCCGTTGTTCAAGGGATTGGTCAGTTGCGATTGTCGTTTTCACGCTAATAAAAAGTCGAAAGTCAAAAGCTTAATTGCGACGAAATTTTGAAGATTTAAACAGGTTTTTTTAATTTCTGAAAGGATGTTTTGCAAGAATGGCGGGATACGAGGGTTTATAAAATTGCATTATCTCTGCGTTCGGAACGGCAATTAATATGGGAACTGGAGAGCCCCAAAATTTATTTTTTCCAGGTCATCACCAAGACCGGCGTCGCCCAGGAACAACTAGCCGATTTGATTCGAGCGATCGAGATGAATGGTGGAAAGTACGTAAAAAAATTTTTACATCATATTGTTCTTTTCATAGATATTCAGCGGCGCTGAACAAAAACTGCACGCACATGATCACCGAGCTGTGCAACGGCGACAAGTTTCGAAGGGTTCGTACTATCATGTCAAGATTTACTCGGTTTTAGGTGAAAGAATGGCAGCGCGACGGCGTCAAGCAGGTGTTCATCGTGACGATGAAATGGCTGTTCAAGTGTATCGAGATGAAGTGCGTTTTGTGGGTCTTTTCTAATCCGAGAACATTTAGATACGTTGTCCCGGAATCGCGCTACGATCCCGAACGACCGGCCTGCTCAACGCAAAAGGGACAAGAGGCCACGATGCAAGATCCAGAGTACGTTTTTCTGTAGATGATCAAGCTCACGGTTTTTCAGGCTGAGCGCCATCTATGGGCAACAAAACGGAAAATTGCCCACGCAATCGGACAGCCCGTTCTGGGGAAATACTTCGGTCGGGGCAAGGAATCGACGATCCGGGTGAGATTTTTTCAGCGCAATCTAAGAAGCTTAAAAACGGAAACGGGATAAAAGTAAAAAGGATTTCTCTAAATATTCCAAATTTCCCAGTGCGTGCTTATTTTTTCAAACTTGAATTTAGAGCGAACAGCTCCTCCGTCACAAATAATCATCCCACGACGCCTAGCACCACCAAGTAAGCAATTTTTCTTGATTTCTCCAACGATTTTTAGGAATCAATCGAACCTCGAAGCCTCCCTTCGAGAACGAGATAGGTATAGAATAATTTCTAGTTATTTTACTCGTTTTTTTAGGGTGGCAACTTTGCGACGCGAAGAATCACGGGCCAGGATGAGTGGCGGAGAGTTTGGATCGAGGTGGTGAAGCCTTGAAAAACTGTAATGTGTTTTTAGGATTGGTCTCCCGCGCAGCAACTCGATCCTCGCCGAACCGGCAGCGATATTCAGCCGAAAAGCGCGTGAGCTGGTCGACCCGGTTGATCAGCTGAAGGACGAGGGAGAACGGCTGGAAGAGGACTTGGATGTGCTTGAGGTGTGAATTTAATATTTTGGCCTTCGATAATTCGAGATTCCGAGTTTTGGCATTCCGTACTATTTATTTCGGCGGTCTCAATAATGCCCATTTCGGCGGTCATTTTGATGTTTGATTTTTAGGGCACTCGTGTGTTGATCGTTGGCGCTAGCGCAACGTCGATACCAACATGGAAAAAGCTGCTGAACAGCCTCGGAGCCTGTCGCGTGACCAAGATGCGCTCTGACGCTATTGTGATTGTCGTCCGGATCAATGGTAGGTGCAGTTTTTTCCGCTGGAAAGGCCGAGAATTTAGGTGCCGACGATGAGAAAACGATCAAAGAAGCGGAAGAAGCCGGCGCCGAGGTGGTCACGTCGAAATGGGCGATCGAGTGCTTCGAGAAGAGGGACAATTTGCCCACTCACGGTAAGACAAGGTTTTTAATGACAACCAAAATTTTCCATTTTTCAGACTTTCTGTGGAGCGACCGCGTGGCCGAGCTGGAAAAAGAGGTAGCCGCCGAGATGGAGGCGCCGCGGAAGGGGCGGTCAGACGTCGAATTCATCGGCATTTACACGGGTACGTAATTTCCGGGATCCAGAAAATGTGCTGCTGCTTGCCGAAACTGGCAGCTTGTTCATCGCCGTGTTGCTGCACGAGAAATCAATTAAAATGGATACAAATGATATTTTTGTAGGTACCACCGCCGAGTTGACGTCCGGAATGCAATTCCCGGGCCCTCCGAGCAGTCGGCCTTCGATGGGGCCAATCTCCGATGAGCAGTCGACAACAAACTGCTTCGCCACCACCTCCAATTTCTACGGCAGCCGCAAGGTGCGCATCTTCGAGCGCGGCATGGACGAGGGGCAAATTGCTGATATGAAGGAAGAGATAGTCGAATGTGGCGGTGAGTTTTGATTTTGATGCTTTATTTTTTAAACTCCTTTAGAGGCTCATTTTCATGATTTTTTTCAGGAAAATACCTCCCGCCCGAGTTCGATGTGCCGGCCGACTATCTGCTTTGCCCGCTGATCGACCTCGGCGGTTTGCCGACCCCAAAAGAAGCCAACGCCGAGCATATTGTTTCTACCTATTGGCAGGTTCGTTTGGATTTAAATATCGTTTTGCTTTTGGAGAGGTTGTGATCGTTTTTTGATGTCGTAGTGAATTATTAATGCATTGAAAGCGGAAAGCCGACATTTGGAAATTGATTTAAAATGGGCCTTTTGGAATTTTTTCAATGAGAAGACTGGGACCGTTTTCTCGGTGCGAAAAAACTATATAAACAGTTTATGTCAGAAAACTGGGATTCGAAGCAAAAAGGCAAAGGGAAAAAATCTGTTTTTCAGCGCTGCTGCGTGATCGAGGGCAAGCTGCTCGAGCCGGACTCGTGCCCGCTGTTCCGCCCGATTCCGGCGTGTGGCGGGAGCACGGTTTTTGAGGTGAGAACGAGATCTGCTAGCCCGTTACCAAAAAGAGCATAAAAAGCTGTTTTCGTTTTTGTCAAAATGGTTGTTTCGCGTTTTCGCAAGTCTAACACGAATTCGCTGTGGTGAGTGGGTAGTTGTTCGCAAGCGGGCCATAAAAATACTTATAATTTTGTTCAGAATTGCGTCGTCTCGGTGACGGGCCTCGACCATCCACTCCGCGAGCAAATCAAGGAATTTGTCGAGAATTTCGGCGGCATTTTCCAAGCGACCATCTGCAAGAATTCCAGGGTATAATATTCCTTGAAAATTGCGTTTTATGGTCTTTCTAGAACGGTGAATTCCGGAACACGCACGTCATCGCCGGCAGCGACAACGAGAAGGCGAAGATGGCCGTCAAGTGGGGCATCAAGGTGGTCGACCCGGCATGGCTGCTCGAGAGCATCATCAACGACAAGCTCATCTCGGAGGCGGCGTATCCGGTTGGGGTAAGTTTTTGACGTTTTTGGGGCTGGATTGAGGTCTAGCCTATTTTTTCAACATTAAATATGTTCTTTCAGGACAGCCCATTCTGTGGCAGCTACACGCGCAGTGACGACATCTGGGAGGCGTGCAAACAAGGGATGTATGACGTTGTTGTGCAGATCCGGGATGTTGAGTACGTTTTCTTGGATAAAATGTTGCATTTTTTGTCAAATTTGATGGTATTTCGAGTAGAGAAAGCGTGGAAAAATTTACAAAATTTTTAATCGTGTAGTTTTGACCGACAATGATCTTTTTACTAGCCAAAGCGATATTTTTGTAATTTTTACTGAAACGTGTAATTTATATACTTTTTGGACTAGTAAAGATACATTATAAAACACCTCTTTTACTATAAAGCAATTAGATGCTACGGAAAAAAAAAGTAAAAAAATCTGATGAGGGCGCCTACGTTTTTCATGGATTTCCGGGCATCTGAACTTTTTGATTTTCAGCGAGTCCTTCCCAACCTACATGCTCGACCAGGGGTCGATCAACGAAGGTGACGACGCGGGCAACGAGGTATCCATTTCCGTGAACTCTCTTCTAATTAACTATGCCACTACAGAACCACACGGCAACACCGAAACAGATAAGCAGACGAGCCACAATGACCCAAGGCCGTCGCTCCGGTTCCATGTCAAACAAAAGGCCACAGCCCACATTTTTGTCCGACCAACCAAGGCGCCGATCGCCGCGTGGTGGCGGACGGAGCAGGAATGGGGTAAAAGAACTAGACTTTTTATGTTAATTTTTAACGGGTTTTTTTCTGGTTCTTTCGCATTATCGGGGGGGGGGGACAAATCTGTTTTTTTATTTTAATCTAGAAATGCCTGGTAACTTAATAAGAAGCATTTTCATAATGTTTTTAGTCAAAAAACTATATTTTAAGTAAGAAAAACTATCGAAAAACTTTGATACATTTTCAGAAGTCGAAATTTTGTCAAAAAACCGCCATTTTTGGTCGAGAAATCGATATTTTTGTACTTTTAGACGAAGATTTGTAAAGCTTTTACGTTTAGGAATCGTAATAACGTTTAGAAACACTGAAGCTATTTATATTTACAAAGCTTCTCCCCCCCGATAATGCGAAAGAACCTTTCTTCTTGTTTCAACCCATTTTTAGGAAGCTTCCATCCTCGAGCCGATCGCCAGCCCGTCACCATCTATCCAGTAAGCTTTTTCGAAACTTCTTTTTATATTTGGATTTTTCAGGTACGTTGAAACGCGCGACAAGCCGGCGGAAGCTTCGAAACCGAAGTCTGCTGAAAAAGAGACGACGCCAATAGAGGAGCCGCCGATTACGGTATTTTTTTGGCTCAAAAATTCTAGTTTAATTTCTCTATTTTAGCCCACCACCAAGCACGTCAGCGCCGTAAAAAATGGAAAAACAGGCCGCCAGGCTGCTGCTCAGTCCGTCGTCGAATCCAGTGTTATGGTGAATTTTAATTGATTTGTAATTTTAAGAATTTAGAAATTTAAGAAAGCGTCCTTTAGGAAGTTAGTAATTTTTTCTGTTTCTTTTTTATTTATTGTTCTTTTCCAGGATCTACTCGGCGGGATGGGCAGCCCGGAGGCGATGCCCGACCTGGCGCAACGTATCATGGATAAGATATCGTCACGAGGTATTTTTATGTTGTTTTTGCGAAATGTCAAAATCCTAATGTAAAATTTCACATTGCCGAAATTTCATAATGCCGCAAGAAAATTCGACGTGGTGATATTTCGAAATTATAAAATTTCGACACTCTAGTACCACGTCATTTTTATGCTTTTTTGAGAAAATCCAGATTTTTCAGACGCCAGCTCAACGCAAAGCCTGCCCAAGCAAGAAGCCGTCGTCTCATCCGATCCCAGCACCTCGGTACGGTCTACCTTTATTTACTCCCTTTTCCTTACTTATTTTTTACTTTTTCAATAGTCTAACGTCTCTCCATTGTTTAATTTATTGATTTTCAGCAGAACCAATCGACGCGGGCTACGAAACGGCGACGAGTGGCGGAAGTGCGACAAGAGCAGAGCGAAGCAGTGGTGATCAAGGAAGAGCCGCTGGAGGTCAACACGTCGAAACGAGCCCGAACAGAACAGGAGCACGGCGACGCCTTCCCGAACTTGTTGATCGACTGGAGCACGCAGTGAGTTTTGTTTTCATCTTGATAGAAAATCGTCCCCGAAAAACCTATTTTTGTTTTGTTGCCAGAAAAAAATTGTCGAGATTTGGCATTTAGGAATATTAAGAAAAACGGCGTAGAAATAGTTCTTCTTAATAGAAAAGAAAGCATGTTTAAATATAGCATTTTTGAAAATTCCAATGGTTCAGGCGGCCCGCTGATGACGACAACGCGCAGGAAGCTGCGGAAAACTTGAAGATACGCTGCTTTGACGAGAGCATACAGCCAACCCCTGGCGCCACGTCGACTCTTCGTGCTTCAGCGACGCGGGTGTCTGAAAGACGGGTCAACGAAGTTGAGGCTACACCTAGATCGGCGGCTAACCGAGCTTCTAACTTGAGGTATGTTAATTGTGCGAAAATTTTCCAATATTTTATATTTTTTTATTCATGTTGTTTTCCAGAACGAGGCAACAACCGGAAAAGCGTGCTCCGGCTCTGAAAGTTCCGGTGGAAGAGGAGGAAGTAGGAGTACTATTTTTACCATTTTACCTCTTTTTCTAGCCAGCGATAGTTGGAGGCACCTTCAGCCCAACACCACCTCATCAACAAGCTGCGCGAAAAGTATATTTTTTCGTTAATTTTGATTTTATTTTTAGGCCCCCGTTGCTCAGCCCGGCCCATCAAAACCCCGCCCTGAAGCGAAGGTAATTTTTATTTTTTTTTTGCACAATAATATCTACCGTTCAGCTACCGGAAACCGGCGACACCTTCAGCCCGACGCCACCACATCAACAACCGGCCCGAAATGATGAGCCACAACCGGGCCCCTCCAAGTCGCGCCCCGAAATTCGGCAAGCCGCACAAGCAGAGCCGGCCCCAGCGCGCGCCGCGGTGAAGCTGCGACCGGAAAGCCGGGTAATTTTTGTACATTTTCCTTTGTAAAAGCTTTTTAGTTGCCAGAAAAAGGAGCGACATTTAGCCCCACCCCGCCACGCCAACAACAACCTCAAAAGGTGGGTGGCCGCATTTTAGCGTAATAATTTTGCATTTTAGACCCCTGCACCCCAGCCCGAAGCGACGAAGCTGCGCGCTGAAAGCCGCACAAAATCGGTTTGTTTGAACTTTTCGGCTTTGGATACTGGGTTGATACCGGGGTGGATATATCCCGTAGCTACCTATAAAAATTTCTGGGGATTAATAGTGCATTTTTATCGCTTTTTCAGTAGTTTTCGCTCACGCAAAGTCAAAAGCATTTTTAGAAATTTTAGAAAATTTGAAAATTCTACCATTTCCATGAATTTTTGGCCAAAAATCCAACTTTTGCAAAAACGTTAATTCAAGTTCAACCTAATGGTGGTCAAAATTAAGTCCCCGCTATGAAATCCCTCGGTAGCAGCCCAGTACGATAGTTTTTCTCGCATTTCCGCTTATTACCTCCGTTTAGCGCCGATCAGCGGAGCACGAGGTCGTCCCCGATACCGCACCCGAGGTATTGCTTTCGCGTACTTATCTTTTAAAATAAAATTTTAGCCGGAAGTTGAAACCGCGCCAGAAGCACCGGCTGCCGCCCCCGTCGATCCGAGCGCCGCCAAGAAGTTTTTCGCCTGGTCGACGTTCAGCGATCAAAATGTCAGTTTTATCAGTCTTTGAAAGCTTCGAAATTCTCCAGATCGAAATTTTTTCAATCAAATTAGCGATTTCCCGATAGCTTATGAAAAATTTTCCAAATTATGGAATTTTTACATTGCGAAATTCCGATAGTTGATATCAAATGCAGATTTTGAGTTATGTTCTGGAAATAGAGCTTTTTAGGCGCTGGAAGCTCAGGTGGAGATCGTGAAGCAGCTCGGCGGCAACTCAAATTATGCGCCGGATGCGGAAAATAGTGGTCTACTGCCGACGACAACGCACCTCATTGCCGGTACGTGCTTCTCTTTACGCTTGAGGTTTAGCGTGGTTTTTTCTTTAAGCGGAAGAGCTAAGCAAGGCAAAGAAAATCGATATTCATGTCTTGTCCGTTCCTTTAAAGGACTGGGAGCCAGAAATTTGGGGTTTTGCAAACTATTGGGCCTTTTTAGCAAGACAATCGACGGCTTTTATAGAATCGGCTCTTTCCTGGCCTTTTAAAATGTACTCAGCCGTCCAAAAGAAGCATTTTACCGTATAAAATATCTACATTTAGAACGAATGCTCCGAAACGAGAAAGTGCTGAGCGCGATCGCCAGCGGCTGCTTCATCCTGACGCCGCGATACCTAGAAGCTTGCGCCAAGCATGGTCGCTTTATTCGGGTATTTTTAGCTGCCTTTAAAGTTATTATGTTTTTAGGAAGAAGCCTACGAGTGGGCATCCGAACTTGCCGATGCCGCCGACACGGACGTGGCGAAGGTCGTGTCCAAGACGGCGCTCTTTTGGCGTCAGAAGCTGGAGGGAAAACGAAAAGCCGGCGAAAAGGTAGTTTTGCTCATGTATGGCAATTTTGCTGTTTTTAGAAAATCGGCGCGTTCTCCGATTGGCGGTTGATCATCTACGCGGAGAGCAATCCCGATGTTTATAGGTGGGATTTTGTAATTTTAGATGTAATTATTACGATATTTTGTTTAAATTTAAATAATGGAAATTGCCCCGCGGGGTTACGTTTATTTATAAATTTTAAGTAGCTATTTTAATTCTGATTTTCAGAAGAATCGTTCGGTATGGCGGCGGCATCGCCGAGTTGCGAAGTGACCTCAGCGACGTGCGACTGTTCAAGCCCACCCACGTCATCATCCACCGCGAGCGGAACATGGCCCCCTGGGATAAAAATGTATTTTTTATTCAGCTTTGTTGTGTTTTGTAGCTTAGTATGGTATTAACTGATTCAGAGAAATTGAGTTAGTAAAGGAAGATTTTTAAAAACCATTTTTAGGAATTGGCTCGCGTGGTCCGTGCCGGCGCCAAAATCTTCCCTCCCGACTACCTCTTCACGTTCTTGTCAAAGCGCGGCATCTACGATATTACCGACTGCACGGACAGCTATAGGTATATTTATGGTTTTAAATTAAAAATATAAAAATACCCTTCGCATTTCGGTTGCAAATCGGCCTTTTTTGGTCGATAAATAATTATACGTTTTGTTGTTTTTAATAAAAATTTGTAAAGTTTTTACGTTTAGAAGTACTAAAAAATAGTTCAGAAAAACTTCCGCTATTTATTTTGGAAAATTGGATCCTTAGAAAACGGTTGCCCCCCCCCCGATAATGCCAAAGAACCATTATTTTTAATTTTTTATATTGTCTTTACTTAATGCCCAAATTCTTCATTTGTTCCAGGAAATTCATCGGCAATCGCTCGAGCGAGCTGCCCGATCGATGGTGATGGCCCGGAATGATAGATCCAAATAGAATTTTGTTGATATGATTTTTGTAATTGACTACCCCGCATTCATTCTCCCCCCGCTAATGTAACTAAACCCTACGATTTGTGATACCTTACTTGGAAATGTTGTCCCCCGTTTGCCGTGTGCCGTGCCTCCTCTGATCAGCTTCTGCCATTCCCCCTGACCCTCTCCAAATCGGTGGTCATTTTTGTCTTTCTGTTTATTGTTTTACGGCGTGTTTTTGCTGGCGCTGGGACGCCGCTTTTTGTGGCGAACACGCGCCCCGCGCTGGTCATCTAGGGATAAATTATCGCATTTTATGAAGCAGAATTTTTTATAACTAATTAAAAGTGAATTTTCAAAATGTCGAAATTTTATAATGCGGAAATTACATTACATTTTTAGAAATTTGCGAATATCGACATTTGTAATATTTCGAAGTTTACCTTGGACTAATCTTCTAGAATTCCAGAAAGTTTCGAAAAATGAAACGTCGGTATTATCAGAACATCGACATTCTGATCGCGAATCCAATCGAGAAAATGTGAATTTTGGAGCAAGAGGCGAAGGAGGAGGAGCAGAGAAATGGAGAACATTCCCAAGGGACGCTCCAGATGCCCCGGATGCAATTAGTGATTGAGGCCAACCAGCGGCGGTGGACCACCCACCATCCGCCACTGCTTTCTTGTCTTCTAGCGGTACTTAATTTGAAAAATAGTCATTTCTTCTGATAGAAAAAGATTTTCGATTTTTTTGAATAATGTTTCAAATTTTAAAATGATCTGGTGCGCTTCGAAATCAATGGTTGGACTTCTTTCTTGTAGTTTCACAATTTTCTCTGCTTTTATGGGGCTAGAATAATTTTTGGACTGGAGCTCCGAATTTCAAGAAAGCTTGCGCCTGAACTCACGTTTTTTTTTGCTGAAAAATGAGGCAGAATTCAGGGAGTGTTTTTTTAGGGAAATGAGACCGATCCTGGTGGCCATTGCCGGGGGAGTTGGAGCTGGAAAGGTAGGAAGTGACGTTTGAAGCGTGTTTCGTTGCGATTTCCAGATATTCTTTGCTATCATAGATCGCCAAAAATCCCGCAGTTCAGGGCTATCTAGGAGTGAATATTTGGGAAATCTTGGTTTTGGACGACAACCTGGCTTAGGAAAATGGAAGGCAGCCTAGCAGAGACCTCAAATTTTTTTGCTGGTTTCGAAATTTCGGCCTGTTTTGCTCCAATAATCTTGCTATAATCTTGCTAGCTTGTCAAACGCTTTTCGCCAGCTAGCAGAGATTATGATGGAAATCCAGCCTAGATTCAAGCATTACGCCAGGTGAAGGCAGGCTATCAGAGATCTTTAGGGAGCCGAAGCTCGCAAATGTAGTCGTCGTGAACTTTAGCTGTGCAGGGTCCAGAGTTTCCCAAATAATCTCTGCTAGCTTACCCAATTTTGTCGCAGGCTAGCAGAGATTGAGACGGAAATTCAGCTTCGGCTTCTAGGCAAAAAAATGATGAAAGGCAATCTAGCAGAGACTTTTGGGGAAAGCATTCGGAGGTAAGTCAGTAAGATTCGAGAGTTCCCCAACTAATCTCTGTTGGCTTGCCCCACCCACGTTTGTCGCCAGCTATCGTTGACGGAAATTCAGCTTCAGCTTCTAGGCATAAAAGTGATGAAAGGCAGGCTAACAGAGATTTTTCGAGAAAAATTTTCGGATACGAAAAAAGTTCCGGCTACAAAATAGCAGTTTATTTTTTTTCAGAAATCGCCGTCATTTATGCTTTTTAGAAAACACTGGCTGAAGCGCTGACCAAGAATCTATCTGCTATTTCGACATTGTTTCCTTTCGACCCCGAATTTGGCAAGTTTTTCGATGAAACTCATGATTCTTGAACGTTTTTAGGTTTTCTAAAGAACAACTCTTCGCAATGCCTATTTGTCCATGGTTTGGTGCCATATTTGGAGCAGAAACACGCAAAATTCTTCGATTTTAAGGTGCGTAAATGTTTAAAAACTAATAACTATCGCTATAATTTTTGCGAGGATCAAAAATCTCGATAACGAAAATTTAGGTTTTTTAGTAAAACGTTTTATTAAAAATTGCAGGTTTTTCTCGACGTCCCGCCGGATATTAGGCTTTGTCGAATATGTAAGTCGTTTCTCCTTATATAAAAGAAGGGATCTTTGGCATTATCGGTGGATGGCGGGCTTTCTTTTCTTTAGTAACCGATTTTTCGAATATATCCTAAATGGATGAAGTGTTTCTGCACTTATTTAAACTATTGCTAAACGTAAAAGGTTGACAAATTTACACTTAGAAATACAAAAAACTCAATTTTCGAGCAAAATATCGTTTTTAAAAAGGTTTTCAAGTTTTTTTTAATAATTTCAGCTTAAAACATGGTCGAATTTTACTAAAAGCACGATTAAAATACTTGTCACTAGGTTACTAGGCTTTTCTGGGCTTGTGAACCCCCCATAATTCACAAGCACCAAATGGAACTTTACAGTAAAAGCCTCAAATTACGAGTGCAATCAACAACTCGTTGAAAAATATCTAAAAGAAACCCGGCCATACTACCTGAAGAATATTGTCCGTCAAAAAGCGATGGCCGATGTCTGGCTGGGGGCTGATTATCGGAAAGGTTAGTTATTCACTTTTTGCTGTCACTGTCCCTTTAAAAAATCTCCCCGAATAATTGAAGATAGAAAATGAATGAGATCTAAAAAATTTTAATCTTTTAGAACACCTTGACGTGGTTCTGGAGAAAGTGATGGCAAAGATGAAGGATGGCCACTATGTGGATAGTCGAAATAAATAAATATGTTTCACTTTAGCGCATGGATTTTCAAAGTTTTGAACTCACAATTCGGAGACTTTAGAAGAGGAGACCCGGGTTCTTTCGCATTATCGGGGGGCACCAACTTTTGCTTCTCAGAATCCAAATTTTCAAATATAGATAGCGGAAGTGTTTCTAAACTCTTTTGTCACTATTCTGAACATAAAAACTGATAAATCCTGATTAAAAAAGACAAAATATATCGAGTTTCGACCTAAAAACGGCCGATTTTCGACCACAATTCCGCCTAAAAAATGTTTCTAAGCTTTTTCTTCGTTTTTTTTTTGCCACTTGAAATATAGTTGAATTTTACCATAATTACTATTACCTACTATCGCCTTACTATGCATTCCTCCCCCCCGATAATGCCAAACAACCAGGTTCACTTTACAGCCATGCGTACCATGCTATAGGTTTTTTGGATTTTTATTAGTCTATCGGTTACTCCGAGGCAAACTCTGGACGACTACCGTACTCGGATAGTAAACTTCGGTCAGAATACTGTATAAAAACCCCGAAAATATCTCGAATTTCGGTTTTGGACGGAATTACATGGTCGTTCCGGCTATGGCCATGTGGTTGCGTCTGGGGTGTTGAGTTGTGGGCCCTTTTGCATGCATCAGAAGAAGAAGAGGAGGCTCTATTCGCCCCTGTTCCCCCCTAGTCAGTCCCCCCTTTTGCTTTGCACTGCTCCGCTCCGGCGCTCCAAATCACGTGCCCGGGCCAATTGATTCCCGGGGAGTCCCCCGATCCGAACACCAACCATCTTCAAGCCGAAATCCTGGGCCTGGAGCTCGATTTTGAAGCCGGGAAAGGGAACCTCCAAGCCGGCTTGAGCCCGTAAATACAACCCTGTACTTTGTAGCCCGGGCGACGTCGGCTGGACCGGTTTCTGCGCGAAAAAGGAGCTATTTTTAGGAGATTTCAACGGAAAACCCGGATTTTCGCACAACAAAAAGTCGTTTTGATCCTATTTCTTCTCAAACAATGGTATTCATAATTTTTCATGGATTATTTTATTCCCAAAATGTCAAAAATTCGAATCTGTTTAAAATTCTGAGCATATGAAGCAAAAACAGCTACAATATCTAGTATTTAAAAACATAAATCATCCATTTTTAACTTATTCTTGGACCAGAAATCTTCAGCCCGCTTCCCAAGCATTATAGACTTTGTAACGCGTCAAAAATTCAAACTATTTAAAATTCCGGACATACCACGTAAAAATAGAAGAATCATATCTTATGCTGGCCGGTCTGTTTTTCATTCCAAGACCAGCACCCCCATCAAATTATCGATCCAACCCCCACCCACCCGACGGCCGTCGACGTATACACAGCGCCTTTTCGAAAGTGGGCCGCGCGCCAAAAATAGTTCTTTCTCTTCCGCTTTATAGAGTTTTTCAGCCTTGAAAACCCCCCGACAACGCTTTTTCAATGGTTTTTATGAAAAAGAAGAGGCTTTTTACGGTTTTTAAAATATCAGAGAATCAGCCACTGAATGATGTTGTTCTTATAACAAAACAGCTATTCATTCCTAACATTTTTTACTTTTTATAACGCCTCGATTCCGGTTGCTACGGTGTGTTTGATGTTTTTGGGGGACCATGACATTTCCGCCAGCGACATTTCCGCCAATTTGAGGCCAAAAACACACCAAACTTTCCAAATTAAAGATTTTCTTTGTGTTTTTGGCATTAATCCATGCAATCAACGTAAGTACATGCTAGTAGAGAAGAAATTACGATGCGGGAGGGTTGTTTTGGGCATCATATCGCGTGTTTTACCTTTTCAGGCGCAAAATCCGATTTTGAAGAAAAAGCCATCATACTTTTGTTATTTCTTCTGTAATAGCTAGATCCGGGCGAGAAAAAAATAGTTAGGATTGTTACACGCATGAAACAGCGCATTTTACAAGCATTTTGGCCGTTGGCGGAATTGTCGTTGGTGGAAATGTCATGGTCCCGTTTTTGGAGAATTCACGCTCCCCGGCGCGCCTTTAGACACCATAGCGTCACGCTTTTTGAAACTCGTGAGGGCCCGCCCCTCCCGATCGGCCCCGCTCTCTCAATTTTCTTACTTCACGCTCCGGGGGGGAGAATTATGATTACTTTTTAATCGTTGTTTTATTTTGATTATTTAGACTTTTGTAAGCATTTAGCCGGTTGAA